TGCTGTTCTGTTTTCATCCAAGATGGGGATTTCAAAAGTTTTGATAATCATACAATAAAACTATCAGTTAAAGAAACAAAGAAGGGACTGGTTTGGGTGCCAGAACCCTGCTTTCCTATCCTTTAAATTTTGATTTTAAAACATGGCTTTGGGCCAGTTAAGTTTGCAAGACTTTCAAGAAATGGGCCCCAGGAATATACCCTCTTATAATGGTGATGAAAACAAAGGTGACACTAGCTTCATTTCCTCTCACTATTGCCCAGTTTTAGAGAACATGGTGTGACATATGCTTTTAATTGGTGGGGAAACCTAAAATAATTAGAATGGAAGCTCTCAGAGACAGGAGTTTTTGATAGAGATAACATAATTGTTTTTTTGAAAGAGAGGATTTTTTGTAAAAGAGGGAGAGGAAAGGGAATTGAAGATGAAGGCATTTATATACATGAAAATTAACCTCTTGCTTGCATGAGTAGCCAAGATAGAATTTCTCCTTACAATATCAATGCAATAGCAATGATAACAAGTGAGACATATATGACCAAAGAGGGATTATACACCACTTTCATAAATGGCTGCCGGATTGATATTCTTTTGTTTAAATTCAAATTAGCCTTACTAGCCTCGCTTGCGATAATGCATTCTTTTGAATTTTGAACTGGAGAATGAGGCCAGAAAGGCTAATTTAAATTTAAACAAAAGAATATCAATCCGGCAGCCATTTATGAAAGTGGTCAGTTAGGTGATCCTAAACTTTAATTCTCCAAACTAACAGCATAAGACTTGTTTGGCAGACAGTAAGGAGAATTACTAGTGAGATTATGGGAGTAAAAGGTTAGGACAACTTGGAATTCCAAGAGGCTTATAAGAGGGGAAGGGAGGGGAGCTCATGTGATACTTCCCCAGTAGTCTCTATCTGCAAATTTAAAAGGAAATGACAATTCTTGCCTAAAATAGAAAGTAAAAACCACATGATACAAGGATATCCTCCAGCGCAACTAAAAAAATTGATATCATAACCTGGGGCAATAATATAAATTTGTCCTGTTGTCTCACTACAAAGTCAGTAGATGTAGAACGCGACGTTTCAACTGGTTACTTCAAGTCTTCTTCGGGCAATGGGGTTGACTGGTTCCAGCACAGCATTATGTATCATGGTGGTCTGCTGCGATTGGTGTACAGAAACATTAGCTGGATGAAAATGCACCAATCACAGCAGACCTCCATGATACATAATGCTGTGCTGCGACCAGTAGACTCCATCGCCTGAAGAAAATTTGCAGCAAGCAGTTGAAACGTCCCTTTCTGCATCTAGTGACTTTGTCGAGGGACAACAGAACAAATTTATTTTATTTTATCATCCAACTACCACGATGAACAACAACCTATGTCATAACATAAGCTGGGGTACTTCTAACTCAATGAAAGAGTTCTTCTTCACCC